GTTCAATCAAATGATAGCTTGAAACTATATAATAGATAGCTCTTAAATAATATCTGGTAGAGTTATGTGACATAGACTATAAGAATCAATGATTGTTCTTGAAACTCTTATAACTATGCATCCACATACAAGTCAAAAAAACTTTGTTTCTAAACCTACTTGTGGGTCCAACTGAAAGACATTGTAATAATAAACCATAATAAATTTTTTCTTATTGAAAAACCAATGAGATGCCTTGATTGATGATATATTCAGATTATAATTAAAAATAACTTACCTGAACATATTTTCAAATAACTCTTAAAATAATTTTACTGTATTTGTAAACAAAACTACAAAATGGCTGAGTAAACAGGAAAATGCAAATATTAATTACCTTGTCTCGGTTATGTGTTACTACATAAACTAAAAGCCAGGCAAAGACATTCATGGTTCAATTAATAGATAAGAAGACAAGTAATACTGAATCATAAATACTTTTCAGAATGTTACTTTTTATTTTTATTTTACATTAGCCATTACAGGACTCTACACCGTTCCATAAGCCTATAAGACATAGGGAAGTAATGGGTCTTACTTTGTCATGCTGTGCTGTGATGTATTGACAGGAGGTTTGAATTTAGTGTTTTCTTTCTGAACTAGTGCAAATGTCTAAAGTGCTCAATCTGCCTTACTATTTTACCCAGAGTTGGTGGGGTGGGTGGGGGAGATGGATTCATGCCATTCCCAAACAGGCTTGACCAGAATTTGATGATTCCATTTTTTTTGTATTGATAATCGTTATGACATTCACCTATCCATAATTACAAACAGGGTCATGTTACAGAATATATTTATATATTACAAATTATTATATTTAAAATTTAAAAAAAAAAAAAAAAGGAAACAATTCTTGTAAAAATTCATTATTCATTGAAAATATTTTTTTTTTCTTATGACTATAGTGTCTATAATAAATTTTATTTATAAAAGCAATTAAAAGCTTTTCTAATTAAATAATGTCATAGTTTTATTGCATTTTTTATTTTATGATTTGGAGCAGATTTTGGGGATATAAGTAGTAGTTTGGAAAAAAGACAAAATTGATCTACATTCTCTAAGAAGTCCTGCTTTTAACTAATAAAAAAAAAACTTTGAGATTGAAATTTAATTTCTCAACATTTTATGAAATTAAGTTGTGGGCTAGCCACTAGCATATGTCAAAAAATTTTTTACCAAGATTTTCTTAAAAAAAAAAAAAATTCAAAAATATTATTTATTTCTGAATAAGTCCTGAAAGTCTCATTAAAATCTGGCAATTAATTGATTTTCACAAGAATTTCCAAATCAATGTTTTTCAACTGAAAAAAAGGTGCTAAAACACTAATCGTAAATATTACCTAGACCACTAAAGTAAAAGAAAAAAAATTTTAACCAAAATTTTGAACATGCTAGAAATAAGTAAAAATTTAATAAAATGATGAAAAACATACTTTTCTTTTAATAATAACAAACATTTTGGTGATAAAACTTTGTTTTTATTAAGTTTGGGGCCTTTTTTCATCATGCTATGTTGTTTTTTCAGTGAAAAAGTGGCAGTTCCTAATTATATTTCTTTTTTCTTTTAAATCTGTTATTATAGGTTTCTAAAGAGGAAAAAAAATTATAGGTTTCTAAAAAAGGTTTATAATAAAAAGATAAACATCGGTTATAGGTTTATAAAAAAAAAAATCTGTTATTAATTATAGGTTTATAAAAACAAAATCTGTTATAGGTTTATAAGAAAAATCTTATTAATTATGGGTTTCTAAAAAAAGAGAAGAAAAAAAGATAAAAAAAATCACTTATTAATTGTAGGTTTATGAAAAAAAAAATCTGTTACCGATTTCTACCTGTAACATATTAATGCTCACTGTCCCATTTCTGGGGGATGTTGGGCATTAATGGATTAATAGGTTTGGAAAAAACATCATTTATAGAATTCTATATATAAGTTTAACATGACTTGCTTTTTTTCTCCAGGACAGCCTCCAGGAACTCCAAGAAACAGCAGCTATGCAAGAGAAGGATTTGGTCCAGATGTCTAACTACCTGGCTGAATTAGGAATATTTGAAAGTAAACTGGATTTAGGAGAAATTAATGAAATAAAAGTATTTGGTAAGTGAAATTCTGTTTATAAACTTTAAGATATTAATAGTCAGCACTCACCATATTAGTTGGTCAGCAGTCAGTTCACTTGTTTAAATTATTTTTAGATGGACCAATTGATTTTTTAGCTAACTTTCTATTTTCCATTAGGAGTCTCTTGTAGGACTTAAAATGCAAGCCTTGTAGGTGGTAACCTTGTTACATGGCCAAGCCATTTCATGTGATGTTTGCAGATTTCCTTTAGCCTAGGATGTAGATTAGCATTTTTCCTAACTCCATCATAGAGTAAAAATTATTCCACCTGACACTCAGGCATGCTTCTTCTCTAGTACCATGCTTAGCTGTGATAGAAGCAAGTGAAGAGGACATTCAAATTGTAAATCTGGATTTTTTTATTTTTATCTTTTTTTTCTAGGAAGAACTTCTGTCTTTTCCATATTTTTTGCCATCCTTAGGAAAGTTATTGATGCTTTGCCAATTCTACAGATTATTTCTTGATCCATATCACTCTGTTTAGTGACTGAGCTACCCAAGTAGACAATGTCATCAATAATTTATATTTTCCTTTGTGTTATAAGAATGTCATTTATTGATTGAATTCATCAGCATACATTATAAAATCTAAATTTTCAAACATCAGCTGCATGCCTTGTATTTTTTGAAAAACAAAGAAACATGTATTAATTTAACTCAAACCTACACAAACCAAAATTACTATAGTAATTTTGGTTTGTGTACTTGAAATGCAAACTGAGTGGGTGAGAACTTTGTTACTTGACCAAGCAATTTCATTTGTTGTTTACAGATCTCATTTGAAATGGGACATATATTGGCTTTTTTTTTTTTTTGTTTTTTTTTTTTAACTTTGTTGTTAGATACAAAATTGTTACCTCAGGCTTCTAGTATTTTTCTTAAGCATTTCTCGTCAAACATTTCAAAGTTCTTCTGGCTGGATTTCAGGTGCCAAGTTTCACAGCCATAGATCAATGTGGAGAGGATGTTGGAATTGTGAAATCAGACCTTGATTTAAGGAAGAACACTTTTTCCAGATTTTTGTGAATGTTTTGAAGACAGTTGATACTTTGCTTATCCTACAAGAGACTTTTGATTGATTCATTCATTTTCTACAGCTTATCAACCCTTTTCAGGTCATTTAAAACCAGAAAATATGTTTAGATTGTAAGAATTTCTTATATTAATGGTTTGATAATGGTTTAGTGATACAAGTCTTACTAATTAACATACTGCTGGGGAGAGAAGAGGTGGATCCATAGCTTTCCCAAAGGTATTTATGTGTAAGTGAATTTCCTAATGGAAATTTGTACTCGGCTCTCTGATTAACAATTCTGAGTCATTATTCATTACACCAACAGCACATCCAAGCTTACAGCAATTGGCATTTCCAAGTGGTCACCCATCTAAGTACTGACCAGGCTTAACATTGCTTAACTTTGGTCATTGTATGGGACCAGTGTTTCAACATGATGTGGCTGTAAGCCCACAAGAGGGTTCTAGAAAGTTTTTAGCTTGATGCTCTTCCAAAAATTTGACCAAAGTACTAAACATCAGAATTTTTAATAAAAATCCTTTTTGGTCAGACTCAAAAACGTTTTACCATCTCTTGTAGTGATTGTCAAGCCACCCAAGTATACAATGTGGATATGTAGGTTGAGTAACAGTTACCAACTTGGAAATACAAAATTGGCAAGCTGAGTTTTAATTCCAGCTGATTTTGTGACATTCACTTTTGCACAAATACTCTTGAGAAAGGTACGAACCCATCTCTTCCCCCCCCAGCCATGGGCTAAATAACACAAGACTCCCCCCCCCCCCAAATCAATCAATAGATTGTAAAAAGAAACCTATGTTGGTGCCAGTTGTTTTAACAACCGTTACAGCAACACCTTCGGTCGTGGATTACTTACCAGATGTTTCGTGTTCAGTAAAGATATTATTCAAAATGTCAAAAAAGTCCTGAAGATACCCATATGGATAGTGCAAAGAAAGAAAGCATTTATGCTTATCAATATCACAAAAAGTCAAACTGAAGAACTAGACGGGGATGTGAAGTGTATGACTGAGGAGTTTGGTGTTGGAAAACAGAAATTAATGAAAACTAGAAAAAACACTGCACAGAGCAAAAAAAAAAAAAAATGATGATCTTGATCGTGTATTGCTGGAGTGGATTCATCAGTGTCCTAATGAACATATGCTACTTACCAGAATGCTGATCATGAAACAGGCTAAAATCTATCATGACAAACTGAATATTGAAAGTAACTCTAATTATTCAGGAGGCTGATTACAGAAATTTAAGAAAAAGCATGGCATTAAATATTTAAAGATGTGTGTGGATAAAGCATCTGTTGACATAAAACTACCTTTGGGTATATATACAGGGTGTGATGGATAGATTGTCATCTAAATTATGCAAAAATGAAGATAACACTGACATCTCATTTTTTGTACGGTCTCCTCAAGATAATTACCTAAATTACACAAAAATATTTTGAAATATTAAAGAGTAAACTTATTCAATAAAATTGCTATTGCCTTCAACCACGGCCTCTAGACAACTTCAGAATCTCCTGCAACTCTTCTGGACAATCTCCTTGTTTAAGTTGGTGAATGTTGCCATAATTCTTGCCTTCAGTTCATCTTTGGTGTTACAAGGAGTTTTATTGGTCTCTTGCTCAACTGTGCCCACACATAATAATCAAGGGGGTTGTAGTCTGGGGAGTTAGGAGGCCAGATGTAAGGGGGTGATGTGGTCACAGAAATTGCCTGACACCCATGACTCAGCTCTCCTGCTTGTGTGGCATGGTGCAGAGTCCTGTTGGCACATATAGGGTCATCCAGCAGCCACCCTCTTGACCCTCTCAAGGCACTTGATGTTGGTCTCTGTGTTGAGTCTTGAGGCCCTGTGGGAAGATAAATGGAGGCATAATGTTGTCATAACAGGTGATCACTCCAAACACCATGATGTTGAATTGATATTTGGTTTTTATCACTTTCTGTACATCTTTTGGTGACACAGCAAACTAACAGTTGTTGTGTGTGTTCACCATCTTATCCTGGCAGAAATTTTTCTTGTGTGAGAAAAACTAAAACATGTTCGGTTGGAGGGGATGCTTGGGTTTGTTCAAAAGCTTCGTAGCATGGTCTTTCCTCTTGTCCTTCACAGCTTGGGATAAAAATTGGCTTCATGCATTACCTGCATGATAAAAAAAAACTCAGACACTCTTGTGTCTCTGCTTATGAACCTAATTGACTTGGAGGGATTGTTGTCAATCATAGCCTGGATCTCACCAACAAATTTGAGAGTTCTTTTCTTATCAGAGTGAGTTTTCCAAGCTGCCATATCTTCTTAATCACCATTAAACTCATCCACCTCTTTCTGAATTCTCTGCACTGTCTCCAGATTGACACCCAAACACTCTTAAATGTTCATATTGGAGCTTCCAGCACAAATGCCAAGCAGTACAACATGCTGTTTCCAAATTACTGATGGGGTGAATTGTGTCATGGTACTCTTTTTCTCACAGATGGTGCCCAACTGACCCTACTATACTTTGTAGTAGATGAGCAAAAACTAACTATGCATATGTGAGATTAAAAGTTATAAACTGGCGACAATTTACCCATCGCACTCTTTATAAGCTGTATTATAAATTATAAAGGGATATCATGTTTATGCTTGGGTTCCTTTCTCAAGCTGCCCCATTTTATAGATGGTATGTACAAATTAAATAGTCTGTATTCCAAAATCTGAAATATCTGAAAACCAAAGCACTTTTGGTCCCAAGATTTTTGGATAAAGGATTCTCAACTTGTATTAATAGTAATAATACTATATATGGATTACTTTTACAGAAGTTGATCTGGAAATCTTGCTATTAACCATTTTCATGTACTTTCTTGCATTCTGTGGTGTTAAAAATGACTTTGCCATTATTATATTTATTAGCAACAGAAAATGTCTTGGCTGACGCACCTGTCAGATTACTTTTTTTTTCCAACACCAATTTTTAATTCAAGCTGAAAAGCCCTGGCTTTCAAAATTGTCATTATCTTTACTTTTTTCCTGATTATTCAGCTCAAAATTAGTCATACCAAATACAACAATTTATTTTTGCAGCCATTAAATAAATATTTAGGTATTTATAATAGCTTTTAGGATGTACTAAAAAGTACATCCTTAAAGCTAGTATAATAGCATTATTTTAAGTCCTCTCTATTTGCTCAAATGCATATCTGCTTTTTCACCTTTTGATTTAATTTGTCAATCATCTCAGTCAGTTTTTCATCAAATATAAATGCAATATCTGATCAGTAATAAAAAGGAATAAAAGAAATAGATTCATGCTGGTTGGGATTGCTGTACTAATTTTCAATTCTCTCCTCTGTAGTACATTTTTTAGTTTGTCTCTTGAGCCTTTTATGTTCAGTTCAAAGTTTACAAATTTGTTGTCTTTTTTTTCATTGCAGAAGCTGAGTTAGAGAACCAGCTTGCTCAGTTGAAGACTTTGCAAACAGTATTTGATAACCAAGAATACACTCCAACTGATGTGGAACGATTTAGGATGGAAGAACAACAGCATCAAAGCCAGATTGACACTTCAGAGAAAGATATTGCTCAACTTGATGAAGAATTGTGGAATGATGAGATGTCCATTGGCAAACATCAAGATAAAGTTAGCAATTCCTTCTTTATTTCATATTTTTAAATGTATTATTGTTGCTTCTAATCTGTTCATGCTTTGGCATTGTTGCTCTGTTGGTAGGGCCTTGAATACACAGGCTGCATATATACAAGGGGTCACTTTCTTGGTGGATGCTTGCAGACTTGTGTATAAATCTGACCCATTTTTGCATATAGACTTGGTTTATAGATGCGTATGTTTGTTTTTATATATATATATATATATATATAAATAATATGTCGAGAGAGGAAAATCTATGACAAAGTGGAAAACAAATGTGTTTTATTCTGTAGGACTTCATCAAGCTAAAGTGATGTTGATGTGACAACACATAATGAGAGATTACTGTAAATTTACGACAATTTTTTTTTATGTCTCTTGGATATGTAATCTAACTAATTTCATTTAATTTCTTTTTTTGCTTATGTTTATATCACTTTATTATTAAATATCCCACATTGTGATAACAGAAAATCTACCAAGAAAGGTGAAATGTTGTAAGAACCTGGATGTAAATTTACTGTGAATGATCTAGTAATTAAAGCACTTTCTATACATTTCGATCTTAGTAAATTGTTTTCTTTTAATTAAAGTAGCATTTTTTAAATTCAAATTATGGTCACTCATTATGGTGAGCAACTAATGCATTGAGTGTGTTTTGCAAAGGATTCCTTTTGTGTTCAATATAATCTTCTTCTTTAAATTTCTTAGTTTTTCCTGTGTATTCATTGTGGCAATTATTACAGGTGATAGAGTAAATTCCTCCAAGGTTTGCCTTATTATTATTATTATTAAAAGAAACTATTATGTAAGGAAAAGAAACTAAATGAAAGTGGCTAGACTATATACCCAAAACAAATTTATAAATTTCGATTTTAAATTTTAGTCTCCCATCTCATTCATATCTATGTGTAATCACATCAATATAAACATCACTTTAGTCTAGGCTTGTCCCAGGTAACGCTAAAAAAGTGGTATACCCTGGAGAAAAAAGGTCCCCAAATCAATAAAAAAAATTTTAACGTGTAAATGTTTATGTTAAAATTTAAAGAGGGAAGACCAAAGTATTTTTTTGAATATTTTTTCAGATTTTTTAATCCTTCCTATAAATTTTTAAAATTTTTTTAAAGAATTCGTTTTTCTTGAATAAAAAAAAAACTAGTAAATTCGAGTTATCGACCATTTCTGGCCGAATTTGTAAACAAAAAATCAAAATTAGTTCAAAAATCAATTAAAATTCAATTACACCTTTTTTTTTGTTATCTTAGGAAATTTAGAATGATTAAAGTATACTTAATGTAATTTGAAAGAAACATTACTTACTTTTTTAGCAGAAAATTTTTTAATAGCGATATTTCCAACCATGGTATTTTGGCTGGGTGCGTGATTGAAGGGTGTTAATTGATGGGTGTCAATATATTGACAACTTACGTCAAGGGAATTTATCGTACGGTAGCGCAGAAGTGATGTAATTCGTTCTAATTTTAAGTGAACCTAGTTAGTAAATTAAAAAAAAAAATAACTTTCAATTTTTTTTTTTTTTTTTAACCTTACGTTTGAAGAAAAATTTCTGCACTGAAAATAACATTGAAATTGTGAAAAAAAATCAAATTTTACAAGTAAAAATGAAACAGTAACAACATTTTTTTAAATTGAGTTATACATATTTTATTTATTAACAAAATTAATATTGAAATGCTATGCAATCGATTTCAAATTTTGCTTTGTTGTTAACTGAATGAATGCAAAGTAATTTCTGAAGTAAAAAAAACTTGCTTCTATCTAGGGAAACAACTCTACCTCACGTGACGTTATTTCAAAGCTGTGCATCCATACTTTCGTTGGAGACGATTTTAAATACAATTTTGGAATATTAAAAGTTATTTTAAAAATATTAACGGTTGTCAGATTTTAATAAGCTTTCAAATTTATGATCTATAAGAAGTAGAGAACATAATATGTCATTTCCATAAGGCTTTATAAAGAAACTTCATTTTAAAATATATAACAACATTTTGTCATATTGTGTATTTAAAATAGAAAAAAAAAGAAAAAATTATTGTAAAAATTCATTTTTCACCAAAATTATTTTTTTTTTTTTCAGATAAGAATTACCTTAGTATGTGTTATTCAGAAAAGTCATAAAAAGTTTTTTAAATTAAATATTGTCTCGGTTTTATTGGGTTTCGTATTTTTACAATTGAGTTAAAAGTTTGAACAATTTTGCGCATTTTTTTACCAAAAAAATCGATGATTTAGAATCTTCAGAGTCTTGTGCATTTAATTGAAAAAAAAATATCAGGCTTTGAAAATTAATTTTTGAAGTTTTCATAAAATTAAGTTCGAGGGGTGTAACAGATATAAAAAAAAAACTATTTATATCATGACTTTCAAAAAGACAAACATTTCTAAAATAATTTCATTCATTTGTGAATAAGTTCTGAAAGTTTCATTAAAATCCAACAAGTACTTGATTTTTGCAAGATTTTCCAAATCAATGTGTTTTTTGCAACTGAAAACAGTGAAAAACAAGTAATGTTAATATGACCTAATTTTTGACCTAAAAAAAACCAAGATTTTCAACCTAAATTTAAAAAATGCTGCAAATGAAAAAAAAATTTTTTAAAATAATTAAAAAATACCTTGGTCTTCCCTCTTTAATTTTAACATAAACATTTACACCTTACATTTTTTTTTTTCAATATGGGGACCTTTTTTCTCCAAGGAATACCACTTTTTTAGCGTCACCTGGGACAACCCTACTTTAGTCTGATAAAGCATTCAATTATTATATAATTTCAAACATATCTGTGTAATTAAATGATGCTAACACTATTTCACTTTTATGCTTACAAAATAAATTATGAGGGAGGTGTTACTATTTCTGTCAAGTTTTATATTTTTCTTTCTCAGCTAAATGAGAACTGTGGCCAACACAATAAACTGTGCCGAATTCTTGAGTTAATTCCTGTGAGTGCCAAGAATTCCAGTGGCTTAGACTTTGAACTCAAACCAAGTCTCTTGGATGGAAGTACACAAGACCAATTTCAGAAACATAAGGTAAGTGCATTGTTTTTAATTCTTTGTAAAATGTTAGTGACACCTAATCAGTCTTAACTCAGCTGAATTGGTCTAAAAAAAATGATATGACTTGTCAATTGACAGAAAACACTACTGTAATATCTAGAAATTAATTTTTATCAATTGAATGTTCTGGTATTCAGATGTGATGAACCATGATTGATGAAAAAGTAATGCTTGTTCTATTTTAATTACAACAGATTTAATTGTAGAAGAGACATTCAATGCATACAAGAATGAAGAAAAATGTTTAAAGATTTTATTAGAAGTACAAAATTTAATTAATACAATAAAACCAGACATGACAAAAAGGGACAAGAGGAAACTACAACCACAGTAGTTTGTAATGTGGGTCACTCCATGTCACTTCAACCAAAAAAAATGGGAAAAGTGTAACCCAGAAAAAAAGATGTTTTAAATTTTGATATGTGGTAGATCTTTATAGTTATTAGAAAATCCTGAAAGTTTTTAAGTGAAAATTCCTAAACGTTCTCAAGATATCACAAATTGAAATTTTGCTGAATCCCCATTTTTAGTCAATGAACATTTCCATTTTCAAATTTGATGATCTCACAAAAGCCCTAATAGCATCTGATCCACTGGCCAGAAATTAATAAAATTTGATACCCTTATAGATTTTTAGTCACTGAATCCAAATATTCTATTAGAATGTTACAGGGAGTAACCAAAAAGTAGATATTAACAGTTCCTGGAGAAAAAATGAAATTTTCTTTGGTGGACGACCACATGGAAAAATTGAGAAATATCATCTTCAGTCCTAAAAGTAGCAAAAGGTGGCACAACATTTGAAAACTATAGTATTTCAGGAATAAACCCCAATAAGTTCCATTAACTGTCTCTCAAAGCTAACAATTCTAGATTTAATAGTTTTTTCTCAAATTCTGGTTGATGTTAGTTTCACAATTATGATCTAATATTGACTCATTCTGCTAAATGTGATTAAGCCCATAGGTAATAAAACATTGGGAAAACATTACATAGTATTTGGGCAATTTATTCACTAAGTTTTAACAACTCTTTCTTTTTATTTCAATTTTTATGGGTGTTTGAATATGCATTGCAAAAATAAAAAAAAAATTGTAAATTTAGCCCAACTCTGCCCCAAAAGCAAAATTTCCTACATTGCATCAACATTCTCCTGATCATCAAAATTTTAAAAGCTTAGAGAGAAAGAAAGAGACACAAAGATCTAAATTATTATTTTTCAAGCAGAGTGCAAGATAAATCATTTGCAATAAAAACAAATAAAAAGTACTTGAAATATATATATCAGTAGTCTTTCATTGCTACAATCAAGACTTTATATCTCCAATGTAACATAAAATTGGCAAAATAAATTTTGAATTTAGTTTGTAGATAAAACTGAATCATTCATTCTCCTAGTCCAGTTTCTTTTCTATGATATCATATTCATAATTTTGAAGGATTTACATGCATCCTGAAGTTGTAGCTGGAGTTGAAAGATTGCACAATATGTTATCATAAGAAACCCAGCATATCTCCTCATGTCTTGGCCAGGTAAAATAATTTGCTAGTCCATGAGTATATAGAAATTGTATTTTTAAATCACTTTCTGCAGTGTCAATTTCAAGAACTAGACCAACCCACCAAAATCTACCATAAATGTATGTTACATAATCCATTGTTCTAATGGAAGTTTATATATATGAAGATGCTTCCTGACATGAAATATTAAATTTGCTTGTGGTTTGATCACAGCTAAATTTTTGTAGATTATAGTAGAGCCATCTCCAGAAATAAAGTGGTGAAATGACTCTGTTCCAGGGACTCTGCATCTATCAACAAATCTAGGGAACAAATTTTTTCTTGTGGCTTTTGATTCTTTAATAGATAGCAAAAAATAGATGATATTTTTTATTTTGTTGACAGAAATGAAACAAGTTCTCAACAGTCAGTCAGGATTTGATTTCTTGTGGTTCACTTGAAGTTTTTATTTTCAGCAAGTCGTTTAGTAGTGCTGCCATATATTTGTATCTACATATTTCTTCTAATTTTCTGATTTTTTTTTTTTTTTTTTTTTTTTTTTTGGCCTTTTTAACTTTTTAAAACTATTGCTTAAACTTTAAAAAAAATTAATATTTTTAAGCATATTCACAAACATTTGAGGTTCATAACTATCTTAAATGACGAATAAGTGTATAAATAATCTCATGTAAGTTTGTGTTCTTTAATTAAGCATGAATATATCCATTTATTTAAAAGGAATCTTTTTGTCCCCCCCCCCTCCCCCCCAGTTGGCATGCAAAACAAATATGGCCAATAACTTTGTAAAGGGCGGGGATTAGTTTGACTTGCTATCAATGTTATAAACAGGTTCACTCACTTCTAAATTGATAACGAATCAATGTTTTTTCAATTCTGACAAGTGTTATGGCCTGTAGTGGATCTGAATCATGCTAATGAGAAAAAAAATGCCCATATATGTTTACTAACCTCCTGTGAATGTCTGCAGCATGTTCTCCTCCTAAAAGCAGAAATTCTATGATAGCTCTATAATGGAAATGGAAGGCATGGATTATCACAGAAAGGAAACATTGAATTGGTTGCATAAAATTTGATAAAAATGTAATTATGTACAAAAGTGTATTGGCCATATTCCATGTTCACAGAAGTTGAGCACACACAACCTAATAAACTTTACTATTCTTAATTTGCAAATATTCCTTAACAATAGGAACAATATTTTGCAACCAAATAATTCATTATAAATAAAAAAAAAGTGAGGTTAAGCCAAGCAGAACTAAATACACATTGGTATCAAGCAGGTAAGAAAAGTTTTCAGAATTCATGAGACATTGTACCAGTCACTGTTGATGACAGAACAAGAATTTGAGTACATCAGTTGATGAGTCAGGAAACTGTTGATTGGCTTAATAATTGGAGATCAGAGAGCTTTACTGAACTGATCCTACAGTTTGCTAAACTACAAAATTTTAGCTTTCTATGTGTGTCTAGAGAGGCAACCATTTTGAAAGAGGATTATGGTTAGGAAAAGAGAAAGGAAATTTACTATTACTTTGATTTTTCCCTTGGTTTCTTGACTCTATGGGTTACAGCTAAGAAAAATTCCTAAGAATTCTAATACTTTTAAAATTAGAACAGGCATTACTTTTTGGAATTACAACCATATGTTGAAACACCAGTTCTTGTCCAATCATCAAAGATAAGCAATGTTGAGACTGATCAGTACCTAGATATGTGACTGCTTGGGAATACCAAATGCTTGGATGTGCATGAGTATTGGTAATGGATAATGACTTGGAATGAGAAATTGGAAAGCCAAGTTTAACTTCCTGCTGTGTTTGTTACATTTACTTAAGTGCAAATACTCTTCGGAAAAGTCTAATTCCATTTCTTCTCCCACCAGCTATGGGTTAAATAGCAGGGCAGAGTGGGTCCTATAGGTTTGGGTCTAGGAGAAGGAAAAATTAAAATTAGTTTGGAGAAGGTTGGGCACTGTCAGGCTACCTTGCCCAGGAAGTCCTTTAACTTTGGTTGGGAACTAGTCTTCTGCAGAAAGTAATAGCTTACTGCAGGAATTTCCCTGCCAAGTCAATCATAAATCAAAAAGAGACAAGTGTACATCCTGTATGACATTTAAGGAAGAAAGGAATTACTTTTTGACCAATTGTTGTAATAGTGTATAAGAAAATGAGTATTTCAAGTTTGTACAAGTTATCCTTAAGCCCATAAGTTAAAATGTATCTCCTATAATCCTTTAGCATCCAACCTGCCTCATAAATATTGGCTCTCATTGTTCAACCTGCCATAACCTATCCCATGTATACTCTGCTATAATATATGCAGGAATTCCTAAAAACATTGAGACTCTGACAGCCAATATTTATGGGGTGGGTTTGAGTGTTGAATGCTAAAGGGTTAAACCTCTGCATGAAGATTAATCTTTTACTTCAACTTCATTTTTGTATTTTATGATTGTAATCCTCTTAAAAGTAGAATTTTCAGCTATCATACAGTGTCCTAAAGTTTGTCAAAATTTCACTTGAATAAAGTGACATCGTGTTATATCTCTCTCACACACACACACACACACAAATTCTGTGACTTTCGTTAGTCCATTTATCCATCACACCCTCTAAAACAGCTATACATTGACTGATTGAAACTAAATTTTGGGGAGAAGTGTAAACAGGTAAGGGAGTACAAAGTACAGTTGGTTTTACTAGGAAACGTGGCTTAGTACAATAAATTTTCATTAATCTTTTTGGAAAAATTAAGTTTTATTATTCAGCATACAAAATACTCCCACTATTACTTATTTAATAAAAATGCAATATTTTTTCATATCTTTCCTTTAATTTTTTATATTTCATTGATTGGTTTGCAAAATTGAATGAAACCTAGTTTGTAAATCTTGACAAAAAATGTTAGCGATTATTTTCAATAATACTAAATAAGGATTTCAACATATGTCAGTGTGTTAAAAAAAATTCTAGAAAAAAATAAAAAAAAAACCCTAGCCCATTTTTTTTTTTTTTTTTTTTTTTTTAGCATCTCAGTCATAATGTCTGACATAAGATGTTTTTATAAATCTTTTTTTACATGACATCAATTTTGATCATTAATTAAAAGTTGATGTTTGATAGTTTGTTTTATACTATTTGGCGGTTGGCGTCAAAGCTGGTCTCTGTTGGATTCCGTGTGTGACATAAATCATGTTGGTGGGTGTCGGAGCTGGATTGTCAGCTGCATTCCATGTGTGGAGAGTTGGGTGAGATCAGTCAAGCCTGAGAATGGTAATGGTTGTGTTGAAAGAAGCAGTCATGGTGGTGACAGCAACAGCATCCTGCATGTCAGCAGGTGACCTTATGCCATTGGTCGTTATGAGAAGCCTGCTTTTAAGTAGGTCTTGCAGTCCCCAGGGTTATTTCTTTTTCCAGTGGGAATGTTCACGATTGGGAATTGTGTTGCATTCA